AATAAAATTATGAGCGTTTTACTTTCTTGATGAATCTGAAGTACGCTTAGAATGGGTCACTACGAAAATATTGCAACCGTTAAATTTACTTGTAGATGTTCTGCTTATACTAAAGACATTTTATGCGATGCAAATGTTAGTGAACCTGCTTCGACCTAGTAAAGATTACTCTAGAGTACGAGTTAAGCAAAACCTTTTGTCGCTGGAGAAATACTGTTGTGGCAAAACAGGTATGAAACTGAGTAATAGGGTTTTCTACATGTAAGGCCTGGTAGTCAAGCAATGTCTTTCTGTTCGTACAGTTCGTAAGACGATTGAGGAGCGTTTATCTGGTCAAACGTACTATGTGATCACTCGTAAAATCCCATTAGTTTAAAGTATGTTAGCATTAACCAGGTTTTGAACTCTCAATCAGGCTGCTTTTAGATGTTTGGTTTTTGTAAGCTGTCAGTTTTCAAAATCGGATCACCGAGTAAAAGCTCCCACCTGAGGTCAAAAAAGCAAATAGTTTTGCAATTCCCCGTACCTATGTTTGTTAAACTTAGTGGTGTGTGAATTTGGGGAATGAGAATAGATTAAATATTCCTGTTATTTAAGGATAATCCACAATCACTCCTTCACACGCCATCTTTTCATGTCAGGTGTCGCGAAACATGCCATGGTGGACCGCACTAATTTAATTGGAAGAGTGTAACCTTGAAAACTAATTCTGAATGTACTTCCAACGGCAAGTGAATATTTTTCAGGCCTTAACGGATATGACCAATACAATTAGGAAAAAGTCGTAGTCATTAGTCTTGTATTTAAGGAGTACAGAACGACAGTGATATTGAGCTATATCTGCAACTGCCTAACAAGTGCCAATGCAACCTCCTACTTTATGCTAAGGTGAAACTGTAAAACCCACCAATATGTTATAACTTTCAGTCACTTAATCAAAACGAAATTGTGATCAGACTTGCCTTCAGAACACTAGTATTATCATGCTTAGTAGATAGTCACTTAATAACTAATGATTCCTAATTGTATAGGTCAAATAAACAATAGGTTGTTTTCCTTTATGATAATTAGATCCACAAGATACCAATCTGACATAGCTGCAGTTTAGTGAAATTGACAACCTATCTGCTTAGACTGGATATATACCCGAAGGACAGTTCTCCAAATGAATGTAAACGGTGTTGACATTGTGAATTAAGCGTACTAGGTCTTTAGACTATGGTAAGAGGAAGTAGTCTTCTAGTCACGTATCCCTAATTAACAAGTGGATTAACGAACGTTAAGACGAACCACTGCATCTGTGTTGAAGCTATGTGTCGGTCTACTCAGAATACTAAGACCAGTATGGCCGCAATCAGTACAATTCCACAACTATTGCGTCCGGATATTTTAACTCCATCAAAGGAATGTGATAGCAGTCAAGCATCTCCTATAGATTGATAAGTCCCAAGATAGATCCGGAAAATATGCTTGCTTAATACTTTTGGTGCAAATTTATCGTCCGATGTGTCGAACTGCCACCTCTTACTATTCACTACATATTACTGACGCATGTCTAATCCGGTATGATTTCTAGAGACTCATTTTAGGTATGACTCACAAATCTTAACCGATACTTTGGATGGTCGAATCTACTTTCACTGACAACTGAATATCATTCAGGTGATGTGTTCCCAAACTTAATCTGAAGAATTTCTCAGGTGATCAAATTAGTTTAGATAACCAGTTCATAAATATTTTAAGGTATTGTTACACTGGTAACTTGAATCCGTCAATGTAGTTTTCTCAAGAGATAACAGAGTTGACTTCTACAAGCTTGCTCCACCTGTAGCGCAGGTAACGTGTGCTTATCAAAGAGCATGAATGCTAGGTAGAAGTCCGATTTGCACTGCTCTACGACTATAAACCGACGTTCATAAGAAAGAATGGTGTATTCGCAGAATTTGATTCAAAGCACCTTTGAACCACTGGTCCCAGATAGTGTAATAACCGAGTCAGTCATGCTATGGTTAGGCAAGTGGTACCAATTAAACTGGTACGACGATTATTGGGGCTCTAAAACTTCACTGATCAAGGTATCTTTTGCTATGATTAAGTAAATCGTTGGCTTGTGACATACAAAACTTATGTATTCCAATCCCTCCTCTTAATTACGTTTCATATTTTGTGTGAAAACATATCATTTAACCAGAAAACCTTGCTTTAATGAATGTTCTGTTGTCTTTTTATATCAGTTCATTTTACGTCTTCTGTCAAGAATTCGATGTCGCAAATTGTTATAGTATCACTGTACATCGCTGGTTGAACAGGGTTTGAATCATTCGCTTAATCAGAAACGTATTCACCATAACACAGAAAAATTGAACCCATAACATATTGGACTTGATATTATTTTACCTCCTAAGCTCCCTCTTCAATGGATTTCTTCCTCCACTGCGGTAATGTGCATCGAGCCAGCTGGGACTGATACACATTCCTGCCAGGTCTTAAAGTGAATTTGGTGGAATATTTACCCCATATAACGTCGCATTAACACCAGACTTACCGTGTTATTACAACGGATAAGCTGGGAGACAAAATAATTGCCTAGTTGGACTATTTGCGTCTCTACTAACGGATATAACAAACAAGTCTCTGGAACGTTTTGTGAAATCCCTCGTCTGAGATACCCAATCATTATTTTCGACGCCATCTATTATAGTAAGTTACCAGTTTTAAAAATGCTCTTAGTGACTAAAGTTAGAGAATGGATTATAATAATTTAGGAACTATGTCACCTGGGCTCTTTTACTACTTGACGTGAAACGATTTAATTTTCATAAGCAACGAAGATCCACAGTGATAATGAACTATCAAACTGACTGGATTTCACCCATTACGACTGGGTTCATTTAACGTTAGAAACTGTATTTAGGGTCTAAGAGTCATCACTTAATTGGTTGAGAAATGGAAAATAATCTGAAACCAGTAAAGTTCCTTGGAACTTCCTAACACTTGTAACAACCAACTTTGGATTAAGTTACTGACGTGTTATTCCTACTTAGATTCCAGTTAAATAATGTTCTAGAGGTCACATTCTTTAAAAAACCTGAGAAGTTGCCAACTATCAATGAGAACACCCGCAGTATCCTTTCTACTTCCAAAAGTTAAGTTGTACATATATCAAAAATGTGCATACTATGAATACAATTAAGTTAATAATGATAACCATATCACTATAAAGTAACACATGGAGAGCATTAGAAAAAGCTTTACTGATAATATGTGAAGTGAAAAACATTTACAAAAGATGTATTTTTGGAACAGATCAGCGTTTTTTGAATCCATATTTCTTACGTTCATAAAACAGATCAGTTTTTGCACTTCCTAAATTGACGATTTTAGGACACCCATCTCTCTAAATAAAAATTGCTAATTGAAGAGAATCGAGAAACACTTACATCCTTTTCCAAACACGTGCACTGTCGACAGTAATAAGCGTCTGAAACACCTGGACCACCACATATAACACAACGTCCTTGATATGATCCGTAATTACACTCGTCACATATGCGAACAAGAGTACACGGGCGAACATAAGAATCACAAATAACGCACTTCCCATCACACTTTTCACACAAACGACCAATAGCTTTGTTAAGGATAGTAAAGGAATTCAACAGCCTTACCAACACCTGGTTGTTTCCTGCAGAAAATAAGGTCTGGATGATGTTTCGCCATAATTTAAACTTTTTACTATAATTGTAGTATTGCTTTTGTGTCCTAAAAAACTAACGGTAAAGTTATATTAAGCGTTAGACAAGAAAACTAACTGAAACAAAGTGAACAGAACACATTAATTTACAAAACTCAGAAATAAACATTTCAGGACGTAGTTTATTGGATTGCCGTGGGTGAGTCAGTCACAACGTAGAAGGTGTACGTATATACATCAGTTCACGTTGCCATACCCCATTAAAAGAGGGATGTTGTCCGGCCAAATCCTAGAATGGTAGATGTAGTAACAGTGGTAATAGGAAAGATAAACCATCGAAGATACGACTCGAAAAGAAAATATAAATTAGTGAAATAAGAACACAAGGAGATTTATAAGCAATTTAGAATCTCAGGATTTGAGGAAGGATAAAGAATGAATGCACCTGCGTCGTTGCAAACGATTTGAGTCATGTTATTCAAAGTCTCCAACCATTTGGTTATGATAGTCACACAGACCCCAACAAGGTACTCCGTACTTATTAACATGGCTAAGTCCCATGGTCAATGACTTTATAGACTGATGCCATGTTTTAGTTTGGCCACCTCTAGCTTTCTTCCAGCCTACTTCTGCACCGGAGGGCATAACCTGTAGATATAGGCGATGGTTGGGCATACGTAACACATGTCCCAACCACCTCAGTTGATGAAGACTTACTATCTTATTAATCGACTTCCCATCTTTACTGAGTACTCTATTCCTAATCCAAGTATTGCTTACTCCGTGGTTCAAAAATACACGAGCAATACTTCGTAGACACCTATGATCGAAAACCAGTAACGTATGAATGTCCTCCACTCTGAATGACTATGTTTCACATCCATAAAGTATAACGAAGAGAACTTCTGCAGTAAACTTGCCCTTTGGTTGGAAGATGGGTATCTCGCCTACACCGCAAACGACACAAACTGGCAATCGAGCCTTTTGAATCCGTGTCGAGATTTCTTTAGACACCAAACCATCGGTAGTGATGATACTACCAAGATAAGTGGAGCGGTCGGTGAGTTTGAAGACTCTACTCGCCATTACTAGTTCAGGCGATGACGCAAACCAATGCTGAAGTAATATCTTGTATTTACCGTGACTGAGGACATTTAGAATTAATTTATCGATGATAGTCGCACTCTTATGCAATTTGTGCAAACGTGGATTACATACTAGTTAGCCAGTCGGTCAACTACGACGTAGGACCAGGCACATATATGCATCGGTCAAAGTCGCCATACTTCATTAGCACAAGATGAATACCGAATACATAGAAGTAGTTAATTTAATGGTAGTAATGTATGAAAGAAAGATTGTTTATAAGGATATAGTACACGAAGAAAGAAAGATATAAAGCAATTTTATTTTCATAGTTTAAGGGAAGACAGAGAGTGTATACACCTATGCCATTGTGAGCGATCCTGAGTTATGTCACCCAGAGATACACCCTCCGTGTATCTGGCCACTTGATGGCTAGTTCTCGTGGACTTGCAGGTGTAGGGATAGCACTTAGTACAAGAGCAGAACAATCGCTATAAGAGTGGATCCCCGTTGACAGTCACCTATGTGCTGTTCAGCTACACAGCTCCGTAAGAACTCTGAGGGACAGGGACACACGTCGTCGCCTTTTTGTCGGTTCTGCCTACAGTCCAACTGACTAAAGCCCGGACGAAGTGAAAAATGAGTTTTGTAGAAAGCTCTCTGAACTTATTTAAAAAGCTAAACACTCAGATATACTACTTGTAGCAGATGACTTTAATCTACAAGTAGGTAGCTTAGACCAAAGCGAAAGACATTTAGGTGGGTATTTTAGTATCCCAACTCAGCGAACAGATAATGGTGATCGTCTGACGCAACTATGCTCAGATAATCGTTTATTTTTAGCAAACACTAATTTTAAGCATAAGGAAAGACATGGTGATCACGTGCACCAAACCAACGATGGACTCAAATAGACCATATTGCCATCAGTCATCGTTGAAGAGGCTCGATAGAAGACGCCCCCAAATGCCCTGGTACGGCCGAGATCGGGGAGAGTTCGCTCTCCTTCTTGAAATGCTCTCACATGACCACGCGTATATAGCTTCTGCCAGGGAAGTCCAACTCACTGCCTTCTCGTGACAGGGGTGTTGTTTACGAAATTGAGATGACGAAAAGAGAATGTCTGGCGCTTTAACCGGGTTGGTGGACACATAGTGAGTTGGGAAACCCTGATTCTAAATCAATGGTGCACACGGCCTCTAGTATCCTGAGGGAACAAATGGTGTATGAACCAATTGTTGGTCACCGGCTACCATGGGACTGCATCTCCTCACGATGCACCACTGCCTTGTGGATCAGACCTTTAGGCCAAAGGCTCCGGGTGTGGCCCCCTAACAAAACCACCTGCTTCAATTTGGGCACCTGGGCAGTATCACAGCCCTCACACAAATCAAATGAGATTTGTGCGGCGCATATATATCTGGTGCCCCCTTGTACCAATATTTATATGTTTAAATAAATAAATAAATAAAATCGATAGAAGACTGTCGCTTATTTGGGAATACATGTTTAGACTTTGATCATGCTTTAATACAAGCACGCATTCGCTTGTGCCTCACTGGACGCAGAAAAACTACACTAAGAGGACCCATTAGGACTGAACTGAGGGACGAGAAGGCCAAACGTAAGTTCCAGGAGCAACTGAGTTCACATTTAAGCAGTTCTGAAAACGAGGCTGACACAGATGTTCCTTGGAAAGAAATACGAACAGCTGTGGAAGCAGCATCTATTAGTGATTAGAACCAAAAGATTTCAAAAAACCAATGGATTTCTACTAAGTTTATTGCGCTGATGGATTCTTGTAAACTCATCCCATCAGGCTCTCAACACGATGAAGAGCGGAAGTAAATCAGATCTAGGTTAACCAAAAGTTTAATGAACGCTCGTGAGCAGTGGTGGGCAACGAAAGCGAAAGAGATGGAAAAGACAGCGGCTGTAGGCAACACCAAACAACTCTTCAGACTAATAAAAGAAACCGGAATTAAGAAGTCAGGTGTGCGACAATCTCGGAAAAAGACGACAATCTTATCTGCTCTCAGCCCAGACGTTTAGAACGATGGGCGAAACACTTTAAAGAACAGCTTAGCTGGCCTTCAGTTACTCCACAGTTACCCACCATACCCAAACAGTCTGAATAGAACACTGAAGTAGGTCCCCCAACTCTAGTTGAAGTTCGAAAGACTATAACTAGTCTGAAACGAGAAAAGCAGCTGATCCATATGAATTGACTCTAGAGGTCTTTAAGCCTAGTGGTTCAGTTTTAGCGATAAAGTTGACTAATATTTTAGCCGAAATCTGGGAACTGGATACAATCTTATCTGACTGGTCGCAATCATTGATCATCCTAATATATAAAAAAAATCAAAATTATCCTGTGATGACCTTAGGTGAATTAGTTTGACTAATATAGTGTCTAAAATACTAGCCTCAATAGCTATCGTGCCCCTAACCGAGACTCGTGAACTGCAAATAAGAGGAAACTAGGTTGACTTCAGACCACATATTCACCATCCGTCAGGTACTAGAACACAGACATAAAAGCAGCATTTGACCCTGTAGACCGAGAAGCTCTGTGGCAGTGTGTCATTGAAAGGTGTATCCCAGAATTACATAAACCGTATGAAGGTTCTTTACTCGAACACTACCAGTCGAGTGAGAGCTTATGGCGAACTGTCATCTGATTTTACAACCGCAAGTGGTGTCGGACAAGGCTGTCCACTATCTCCATTTTTGTTTAACTTCATCATAGACCTACTACTGGAAATAATGCTCTCGTCGACTGAATTTTATTGTTATTGTCAAGTCGGAACTGGTTAATAGTGAGTGGTATAAGATGTCAAACACGGTGATCAAGTCGAAATAACCTGCTAAGACGTAAGACAATTTATAAACTCGGAAAAAACTACCTGAGAGTAATAAATTAAACCGTCTCAATAGACGTATAGTTACTGATAATCAGTAGTACATTAAGACTTTTTGGATTGAGTACCACATATGAAATATTCTTAACCTTTGCGTGACGAGACGTCTCTACTCCCTAGTTTGAAGACAGGCACACAGCAAACTGTTTTATCAATCCCTATACTTGTCTGAACCATGCTCACCTTGATACAGTGGTCTCGGTAAGAATCTATTAGATATGCCTTATTACGTACATAGACCGTCTTAAATAATAGTCCGAATCGGCTCTTATCAGTGATATCACTGCTAGGACCTGAGATTGTACCTTTTTTGAGAGATAGATTGACAACTTCAACGGCCCATCAACAAACAGGATTGACCACGAACCATATTTTAGATGAAATATTTTGTATTTTAGAAGAAATCCTGGTTGACACTTTAAACAAATACCTACAGCCTACAAGTTGGTAGTATAGTAAAACAGCTATGTCGACAACCTCAAGTACCCCACTCCGATGACATATCACAATAGGCAGATGTACCTCTACTTGTCTTCCTGGTACGCGTTGTAAAATATAGCCATTGATGGATGTGCGGTTGCTGAACTCGTATATGGCAGCACACTGATTTCTAAGAGATATTACTGAACTATTAACCGGATCTAATTGCACGTTAATCGGCTTACAGACTCAATACTTTTATTTAGGCGTCTTTCCACTTAACAAATGTTTTTTATTCAACCAGGATTATGACACACTATGTAATTTCTTCGTAGATCTTTATTTCCAACCCCCACCTTTAGATTGAGGCCACTGAACACACCAGATTTCTTGAATGTGAATCAGAATATCATATTACTGACACAAACAAGAAAGACAACATGACCATCGACCAGTAAAAAGACAGTTAAGAAAATAACTGACTCTAAAATGATTTCTTAGGGGATACACAGCCAAATGAAAACTTGTCGAAGGGTACCAAGTTTTTAACCTCAAATGAGTGAGGACTGTTAGGAACATGTATAATCATCACATACTAACAGGTTACTTTGAAGTAACCAAAGTAAAAAGGTTTTCAAAATTTGAATGTCTTAGCAGACTTGAGACTAGTTTATTTTGAAGCAATCCGAGCCACTGTATCATATGTCACACTATTAGTACGTTTGACATGAAGTGAATCACCAAGCTAACTTACGGACTTGGTGTTGGACTTAGAAACTTTGTTTCTCATAGAACGTTAATGCTTGGTGCGTTGATGGCCTCAACATAACCTATCTTATTCAGAATAACCTGTACCTACCTTACCTGTGTTTACCAAATTCGGTTACTAATATGAAAAGTGAGACAAAAAAGCATTTGGGGGCTCTTGTGTAATTATTTTAGAATGACAGCACAAAACGTCGACTTGAGCTTACAGTAAGTTAAAGAGCAGATAGAAGTAATAGTGCACACTAGAATAAAGCTCTAAAAGTCAGACCACGCGAAACTTAATTAAGGATGAACGTTGCAACGTTCGACCCATAGGTCGCTGTTAGTCAGAAAATTTTTTTAACTGGGAGCAGAGATAAACAACAGGGTAATAGTGAATGCCAATAGCGTAGACGTTATTTAACAACTTGCAACATCATGCGAAACCACCAACCTCAGATGGCCGGATGTAAAGTTAAACCGGGCAACGCTTCAGTGATATCGTCCACTGATGGAAGTCACTGAGCACTTGAAGGTCAAACTGTCGTAAAACGATTGGTGCGTCACCCAGACAGTTCATGAGGTTTTGAAGAAGCAATTAAATCAAGACAATTTTAGATTTGATTTCAGTCCAGCCACACTATGTCTGGTAACATACATCCTTCAAGTAACGAAAGCGATGTCATCGTAATGGTGCATGATATAGGATGAATCTTCAATGATATTATGTTATCGCGATGATCGACCAGCTAAAACAATTCTTAGACCTGTTTAAATACATTATTTAATAGGACTTTTGTAGTTGATAGTTATTTTTATAGCATACGCACACTGAGTATGTCATGCTAGTATGTAAAACAATTATGTCCCAACTCTAAAGTGTTTTTGTCAGATGCGCGCCCAATCTCCCGATTTTGGGAAACAGGGTAAATGATAGGGTTTTCCTCAAAGTCGTGATAAATATGGTAGTTTACTCCAAAGTTCGATGAATTTTTGAGAACCCCCAAATATGATCGGATTATTATTAGTTTTAAGGAGGCTATTGTGACTTAAACAGCTTTTCAAACTCGCATTATTAAAACAAGAAATGAACTGTACTTACAAAAACACTTTTAAGTACTTTAAGAATACTTTAAAACAAATCCCGCGCTATCTGAAAAGGACAGTGGTATTTTTTCACCAAGTATATTTTATAGTATTGTCCGTTTAATTACGCATCAGGACTACTGTTTTTGCTTTAATTGAATTTATTTCAGTTAAAGTAATCTCCAACAGTATCGCTTTTTTAAAGAGAAATTTATCATCTGTACTTTTAGAGTGCAGATACAAAATGGTCATTGGTATTTCTTTTTCTCGTTACGTATATTTTTACTACTATTTGTATACAAAGGTGAAAGGTATTTTGTATCTACTGAAGTTGGGTTTTTTATTGTTGTTAGGTACAGTAATATACAAACATCTGTTTTTCGTGTTCAGTGCCTATCACCTACCAAGTCTCAAAAGACGCTTTTCTAGATATCACTTTTGCCGTTGTTCTTCCTGTGAGATCACAAAACAACTTTATGGCACAAGTAAAACATCGTTGTGGCAGAACTGAATGTTATTTCCATGTTGATGATGCGATGGAATGTGACAACTGCAATAAGTGGTATCACAATGTGTGCATCGGACTCACACCGGCTGTCTATAAAAGGTGCTGCAAGCCACTATCACGTTGGTTGTGAGAAGCATTCTGTTCTACAAAGTCTCTGCTGATTCCCGAGGCGATTGAGCTGCTGAACATAGGGAGAAAATCGCCCTCAGATAAACAGGCAGCAGATGAGCGAAATCGAAGAAATAGCAAGCGTTATCATGAGTCCAGCTTTGGATTTGGATGAAACCATCAAAGTGAACCCCATTAGAGAAACAGATAACAAGCATACCGATGTAGGCATTCTTGCAAGAAGAAAGAACAAGCACGCTGAGGAGACACAAATTATAGGCAGCACTAAGGTATGTGAATCTACGGTTCCAGTTCCGGATTCGCATAACAACGCACAACAGAGTATGGAGGAGCAAAGCCTGAGCGGTGTAGATAATGTGATCAAGAGACATAATAAGGTAAGTGGTTGGTTTGCAGTCACATCCAGAAAAAGAAAAGTAAGAAAACAGAGTGAGCCTCATGCGTTGGACGCTAAATCCGATTACATGGAAGATATTTCAGGAATCGAAATTTCACAGCGCGTTAAGAAGAGCCTTGCTTACAGGTCAGTCATTTTTCCCAAGTTAGGAGAATCTTGCGGACAGAAACCGAAAGCTAGATTTGAGCATGACCTCAGCCACATTAAGTCCCTAATAAGCAAGCTATTCCCAGAAACAGTCTCAGGAGTGAGCATCTATAAGCTTTATAGGATAGGACAAAAGGTGGATTCTGAAAAAACTTGGAAAATCCGCTTCTTAAGAGTTACCCTTGTTTCGGCTGAAGAAAGAAACCTGATAGTGGTAAACTCACGCAAACCGATTCGATCCAGAATATACATCCGTGAGGATCTCAGCCTCGTTGTTAATATTAAGAGACGATCAGCAGAAGTAGAAATAGATGAGCGACGCTGAATTGATGAAAAAAATCTCGTACTTAAGGGTTTTCAAATTGTAAAGGTTCGGAGCAAAACGATCTTCAAACCACTCTGTGTGGCAATGGAAAGGTCTCCACATAATTAAATATGTGCTACACAAATGCTGGCAGACTACAAAATAAAATGGTGGAGCTCAAGACAATGGTGGACATAGAAAACCTGGATGTCATTGCTGTCACAGAAACATGGTCAACGTCAGAAGTGTTTGATAATGAAATTCAGTTGACTGGTTTTTTGTCCAGTAAGGCTGGTAGACTAAACCGTAGAGGGAGGTGTGGTTATCCTGTACACAAAAAGTACCTTAACCATACGAACTATTAAGACAGTAGCATTTGATCAAGGGACATGTGAACTGGTCAGTTTCAGGCTGAAATGTAAACGGCAAGACATTGAAGTAGTTGTAGTATCCCGAAGTTCAGAAGATGTAGTAACTGAATTATCCTAAGAAAACATAAGTCCTGGTGTTATTGGGATAAAAGCTTTATAGTAGGCTAATTTCATGCACCATAGGTAAGCTGGAGAAAATATTTATGTTGCACAACAAACCTTCTTACAGCAACCAAACAGTGGATAAAGGCCCTAGACAATGGAAAATAAGTGGATTCTGTCTACATAGACTTCAGCATAGCATTTGACAATGTGACAACAAATAGACTGCCATTAAAGCTGAAAATTCTTGGCATCGCCGAACCCTCCCCCCAAATGTCTTAAGGATTTCATAGTAGGTCGTAGATACAAAGTAAGAGTAAATTCAAAGTGCTCCACTTGGAGATCAGTACTTAGTGGAGTACCTCAAGGTTCTGTCCTAGATCCTTTACATTTCACAGTGCATGTAAATGATCTCCCAAACATAGCTGAGTCCACAATCTTACCATACGCTGATGATGTAAAAAGTCTGGAGAGAAATATTAGGAGACGCACACGCATGAGCACTTTAGGCAATCTTCAATATTGTGATTAGCTGGCCTAAGTAGTGGCTGATACCTACCAACGCGACCAAGTGTGTTAACATGCATATTGGGATGCAAAGTTAAATAGGTGTAGCGTAAGGGAAGAATCTGTGCCCGTAGCCCGGTTTCGTAAGGATCTTGGGGCAACAGTGAGCCTTGATCTTACGACTACGGCCCACTGCCGGGGTTTGCAGTTACGGGGTTTAGAACCCTATGGGCTTTAAGTTGGACATTCACCAAGTTAGATACTACTATGTTCATTACAGTATACGCAATCTTAGTGATATGCGAACTTGAAAACTGCGTTCAGGTTGCAAGCCTCTGTTTAAAAGGTAACTCGAATGTTTTGGAAAACGTACATAGAGCAGATACCTGTTCAATTCCAGAACTCCGGAGTTTACTATAGTAAGAACGACTTGGAAAGCTAGACCCCTTTACTCTGTCCTGCCGCAGATTAAGGGGTGATCTGATTTTGATGTATACAATACCAAGAGATGATTCAAAACCTGATATATGTTTTTCCTTCCTATCAGATCAGGACAACTCAGTGGACATAATAGGCGAGTAGAACAACCGTGAACGAGCGAAATATCCGTGGCATACAGGTTTTCACACCGAATCACCAATTCTTGGAACCTGTTACCCGTAGCAGTGGTGTCCGCCCCTTTAATTGACTAGACACTCAGAAGCTTATCAGAAAAAGACTAGTACTGGCCGTATACCTTTTGTCCTTATTACACAAAGTCTTCTACATTTGGTGCTGACGACATTAGTTTTAATGGGCTCACCTAGCTGAAGGCGCTCGGTCGTACTTCCGCACCAGATCATAGTAGGTGGGCTGTGCTCCACTTCTCCTACAACCGCTAGCCGGTTTAGATCGGTTACTTCTCGGTATATCGATAGTCTATCAAACACATCTTCCAACCTCTTCGTTTCTGACTTCCAGTCTCATTGGGTTAGCACATTTCGATTATAGGACGTGTTACTGGTTAAGGTGTTGTCAAACTCCAAATGCTTGTGACATCTTTAAGAGTGTAAAACTTCATGAGCTACCCTTGATCGACCCTTCACAGAAGGTTGAGGAAGGTAATAGCCCACTATGTGGTTAAGTACCAGTTAACAACTACTGACAATTAAATCTGTTATTGAGTTGCTGTGGAAGAACCAGGTGATGCTGTATCTACAGAACAATGTGGCAATATTGTACCGGAATCGGGCATTACCGGTCATTGTCGGTAGTGCCGCTACGGAAATGTCGCCACCTGCTCATCTGTCAATGAAACAACAGCTTCAGTAAGTTGTAATTGTGATGATGAAGGAAGGTGACATAACCGTAGAAAAGGCTAATGAAAATCGAGACACCTCTCGGGCGTACATTCCTGAAGTTTCCGGACACAGGTGTGTACTATCATATTGGACTGAAATTCAATTTGCTGAGGATTTCAGAAATTCGGCTACGCAAGATCAGTTTTAGCCAAATGAGATTGCGACTCAACTTCGATTGCCTGTTCTTTTTCAGAAGCTTTAACAAACAGTTATGGCCCACTATAGGTTGTTTCGCAGCTTTGTATATTAGTGAGATATTGATAGTTGGTATCTACGGTAGTGAAATAAAACCACGCCACTTCAACGAAATGTCTGCAACAGTTGTAACTGGGTTACAAAAGGCATTAATGTAGATAAGTGTCGATTGCATTTGACAGTGAAATTAGTAGCTGTTATTTGTGACACTCCAGCTCGTAGCAGAGTTGGGTATGTTGTCGGGCGAAATGGTACAGTTGATTTTGACAAATGTGAGGTTATAGGGACAAGATTGGGTGATCGAATGACTTTTCTCATTGGTGAACAGGACTTGAGAGGTGTTGGGATTTTTCGTAGAAGGTCCGAATCTAATAACCATCGTGGTAGGACTTCACTAGAAGATCTGCCCCTGGGTATGCTGAAAGCTTTTCCGTCACAACTGATGCACT